CAAAATGTTCGCAGTGATGCTGCATCAAGGGTATAAGGATGTTCATTGTTCTTTCAAGTATTTTGTTTCTTTAACATTTTTCATAACACAAACTTGAGGGAGAAAAAGGTAAGGTTGGTTTTAGGAAAGATGATTGTCCTGTAGGCCCGTGGCCACTTACAGATCAAGCCAGACAGTCCTGGGAGGTCTCAGCTCCCCCTTTCACCCATTTCTTCATTTAATAAGAAGCACTACTGTCTTTACTTATATCCTAACTAGAGGCCTGGTGCACAAAATTTGTGCACAGGGCGGGGGGGGGGAGGGCGTTCCCCTCAGCCCAGCCTGCACGCTCTCCAATCCGGGATCCCTCTCACAATCCGGGACCGCTGGCTCCTAACTGCTCACCTGCCTGCCTGCCTGATCACCCCTCACTGCCCCCCCTGCCGGCCTGGTCGCCCCACGCAGCATGCTGTTTGGTTGTTACTGTTACTGTGACGGCGTCCCAGACAATTTGCATATTCCTCTATTATTAGTATAGATAAATACGCAGTACCTCCCAATTAAAGAAATGGCATCTCTAAGTCTAAAGACCATCACACAGAAGAAGACCAAAAAGGCATCAAGAACCAAAGGAGAAGGCAAGGGTATCGAGCCCACAACCTGGGCATGTGCCCTGACCGGGAATCAAACCCTGACCTCCTGGTTCATAGGTGGACGCTCAACCACTGAGCCATACTAGCTGGGCTGATCAGTTTTTAAAAAGAAAACTGTAGACTGGAGGGGCTTGGAAGACTCTCAGAAGGTGAAATTTGAATAAGTCTTTGTGTAGTGGTAAGAGTGAGGGGAGAATGTTGGTTTGGGAGGAATTTATAGGTATAAATTTATGGGTATAAATTTGACCACATGAGTGGTCCTGAACCTTACCTTGGAATCACACCAGCAGATCTTCCAAAATTTGTTGCCTGCAAAGAAACTACTTACACAAATTCAGGATAGAGGCTACCTTTGGAGGGTGGAGAACACAGGTATCAGTAACTTCCTATTTCTTTTTTCTGGAATATGGCTCAAGATTCATTTCATTCTTCAAGCTGCATATACATATTACAGTATGTTCAAGTTTAAAGAATGTTAGTAGCTATGACCAGAAACCCAGCAAATAAAGCAACAAAGGATGTAATCCTAATCAGATATGAGTGAGGCTAAAAAGTTTCTCAGGTGGTGAGATTTTAAGTAATTTTCTCCTGTTTCTGTTTTTTATAATTTTTTTTCATCACATCATATGTATCCCAAGGCTTTGGCTGCATGGGCTGCTGTGGAAAAGCAGTGGGTGTGGAAGTGAGGGAGCCCTGGGTCTCAGTGTCCACCCCACTGCTTCTTTATCACTCACTGTGTTTGGGAACTTCACCTTCCTGAGAGCCTCCATGTCCTCGCCCATAGGATGGGATCGTAAGAGCTGCCTCCCAGGATGTTCTGGGGTGTAGGGCAGATAGTGGGTACAAAGCACCTGGCACACGGTGCTCAGTAAATACTCATTTCCTCTCATTCCCTGGAGAACAGGTGATTATGTTGTTACAGACTCTTGGTTCTAGGGAAGGACCCTGAGACACCGTTTAATCCAACTTCTTCACTTTGTTCCATTTAAATTGTTCTTAATTGCACCTGAAAACAAATTAAAAAATATAGATGAGCTCATGATGCAAAGCATCCTTCTTGGCTCGACTGCACCTCTCCCCACCTGCATCCCACTCGCCAGGCAACCTGCTCTCATCATTCCTGATTCACGTTCTTCTAGTTATCTCCGTGATGCCTAATAATATGAGGATGACCCCTGTTTCTTCCTTAGCCACTTTAGACAATACTTACAGACTCCCTATTTGGAAAGATGAGATTTTAGCTCATTTACATCTCTTCTCACTCTTCCTCTCAATATTTCATTATACTACTTATAATTTCTGTTGTTTTCTCTTGTAACCAGCGATAATATATTTACATTATACCTCTAGTGCAGCAGTAATATTGATTCTACACACTCTCAGTGGACTTCACAGGCCAGTGGCTGGGTGGGTTCCTGGGCAGAGTTGAAGGTGAAGTGTGGATCCTTTCAGACTGAGATTGGACAAGAGGGAGGTCAGCGGTTAGCATTGGCACCCACAGTGGAAGCTGGTTTGGATCCCTGACGCAGGCTTGTGTGTGCTCCACACTGAACTAGACATTAGATAGATAGATAGATAGATAGATAGATAGATAGATAGATAGATAGATAGATAGATATTATTGATTTCAGAGAGGAAGGGAGAGGGAGAGAGAGAAAGAAACATCAATGATGAGAGAGAATCATCGATTGGCTGCCTCCTGTACGCCCCCCACTGGGGATCGAGCCCACAACCCGGGCATGTGCCCCTGACTGGAATCGAACCTGGGACCCTTCATTCCGCAGGCTGACGCTCTATCCACTGAGCCAAACCACCCAGGGCTGAACTAGACATTTTTATCATCGCTATGGCCTCAGCAAACAAATGCTGAACAAATACCTCCCAAGAAGGTGTTGCAGAGTATGCAGCCACCTCACTATGCAAATGGCCACGTAACGCCTCCTCTGGGAGCTCCTTGGCAAATGTTTTCCCACCTTTACCAGGACACCGCATCCTTGTGTCTTTCCTCACCTTCATTAACAAATGGCATTGCCAGGTGGAGAACACACAGGAGGCATGCCAGCATGAAGCATCCTCCCCAGGAACCTTTGGAGTCCTGAAGTTTGCAAACTCAGCGTGGTAGTGGGGAGGAGAGGGGTAAATGGAACACTCTCGTCTCCCCCAAAGAAATCTGAAGTGGAAGCTCATCATGTAAAATGGATAAGTCAGCAACATTGCCTCTTTTCCCGTCTCCTAAATGTCTCCCAAGATCAATTTCACCCACATTAACAAAACAGAAAGTGGATAGTTCATACAACGGGCAACTTTTCTAGTAACAAGACATTTCTAGGAGCAACTAAAATTTTGGAAGCAAACAAGAAAGATAAAAAACTTGGCAGTGGGGTTATGTGTATCTGCTTGGATACTTCAGCAGTTCCTCATTGCCCTTCAAATAAAATCCAGGCTTCATACCATGCCTATGAGGCCACACATGAACTGGTCCCTCCCTACCATCAGGGCCTCAGACTGGACTATGATTCCTGCATCACTTTACTCCAGTTGACTTTCTGCCCCAGGCCCTTTGCACTGGAATGCTCTTACCTCATACCTACATAGCTTGCTCCCTCACTTCATTCCATTCTTTATTTAAATGTGTTTGCCTCAAAAAAGATTTTTACCTAACCACCTTCTCTCAAGTAGTCCCTTCCCCAGTCACTCTAGCTTATTACCCTGTTGTGCCTTATCACTATGTGAAATTTCCTGATTTATTTACCTTTGTTTATCTGTTTCTATGAACTAAACTGTAAATGCCATATGACTGCAAAGATCTAGTCTAACTTGTTCAACATCATATCTGCAAAACCTAGAACAGTGCCTAGTGCTCAATACATATTTGTAAGATGAATGGATGTAATAGTATTCTTGTATTTGGAGGATTGTCATATAGATAAATATACTCATTTACATACTCATCTAAGAAACATAAGGGGGAAATATTCATTCACTTAATAAATAATTGAGAAACTATTATGTCCTAGGCTCAAAAATGAATTGGGCTGCCTCCAGAAGTTCTGAGCTATTGATTACTGGAGGTATAGAAGAGTAGCCTGAATGTTATCTTAAAAAAGAAGTTATTAAATCAGTATCTAGGCCTCTATCATAAGGAACTAGAGAAAGAAAAGCAAATTAAACCCAAAGCAAGCAGAAGAAAGAACATAATAAAGATAAGAACAGGAATCAGTAACATTGAAAGCAAAAACTATAGAGAAATATGAATGAAACTAAAAGCTGGTTCTTTGGGGGGGAAAAAATCAATGAAATTGATAAACCTCTAGCCAGACTGACCGAGAGAAAAAAGAAAAGACACAAATTACCAATACCAGGAATGAAATAGGGAGATTACTATAGATCCCACAGACATCAAAGGTCTACTGCAAGCAACTCTATGTCCACAAATTAAACTTAGATAAAAGGAGCAAGTCCTTGAGACACACAAACCTCCAAACTCACTCAGAAATATCGATAACCTGAATGGTCCTATTACTAAAGAAATGTTATACCTAGTTTTTTAAAAAATTTTTTTATTCAGAGAAGGAGGGAGAGGGAGAGAGAGAGAAAAACATCAGTGATGAGAGAGAATCATTGATTGGCTGCCGCCTGCACACCCTCTACTGGAGATCGAGGCCACAACCAGGGTATATGCCCTGACTTGGAATCAAACCATGACCTCCTGATTCATAGGTCAATGCTCAACCACTGAGCCAACCAGCAGGGCTATACCTCGTTTTTTGTTGTTGTTTTTAAAACTTTCAGCAAAGAAAACTTCAGATGCAGATGGTTTCACTTGTGAATTCTAACAAACACTTAGGGAAGAAGTAATACTGATTCTACACCCTCTCTCCCAGAAAATACAAAAGGGTAATCTCTTCCCAACTCATCTTATGAGGTCAGCATCATCCTGATTAGTGAGTTGGAGGGTTGGCCCAGCTAGCTGCTTTGAACCCACAGGCCTCACAACCAATGAGACAAACACAGTCTGAGGTCCGTTATCTCTGCTTGATCCCACTGTCACTCATTCGAATTCTTCAGCAAACTCCTTATAAGATTATAATGAAAATGTGCTGTACACTCATCGTGTGCCAGGGACTTTGCTATGAAGTTATGCATTCTCTCAATCAATCCTCACAGCAGCCCATTAAAATGGGTACTATTCACATCTTCATTTTGCAGATGAATAGTCTCAGAGAGACTAATATCCCACAGCTAGCAAGTAAAGTGGCAGGATTTGAACTCAGGTCTGGCTGACTCCAGTGCTCAAATTTTTAGGAATGAAAATTCTTCCTGGTTTAAAGTGATTTTTAAAAAATTTCCCTCCATCTCTCTTTGCAGTCTCAGGAGGAAGTCTGTGATTTGCTCCATGCTGCGCCCTTCCAAAATATCTTGCCGCGAGTCTACATCAAAGGTAAGAAACCACTAACAGCCACTCAGTAGCCAACTTGATTTTGAACTTTATGCTTACTTTGTCCCAATAAACCAGATCTGCAGTCAGAAAGGGAGAAGGTTAAAGTTTTGGGCAGCTATGAAATGGTCACAGAATGGTAGACTTGGATGGTGCTCCAGGCCTGTTTCTTCGTCCTTCTGGAACATCCCTAGCCTCTTGCTGTCTAGCCTGGGTTTGAATCCTTCGAGTGATGGGGAACTCTCATCATCCCACGAGGTAGATGATTCCATTGTTGAACAGAGAATAGAATCTTTTTCCTTATAGTGAGTCCTGATCACACTCATCAAAAACAAGGAGAACAGTTCTACAGACTCCATTCAAGTTTTAGAATGCAAATAGGTCGCCGCATCCTCTGGGAGTGTCCCTTCCCCAGGTCCCCCTGTTGTGGCCTGAATCTCACTCTCTGCCTACTGCTCCTTTGACAGAGGGGGAGCGTCTGGAAGTCCGGATGAAACGCCTGGAAGCCAAGTACGCCCCGCTTCACCTGGTCCCTCTGATAGAGCGGCTGGGGACCCCTCAGGTACGATCCTTCACCGAAAGGAGCTTTAGAGGGAGAGCATTTGGTCCAGCCCCTCCTTTTACAGGGAAACTGAGGCCCAGAGAGAGGAAGAGATTGTCTAACCACAAAGCCTGTTAGTGGCAGGGCAGGTCTGGAGTGAGATTTGCTGGCTCTCAAGCCTGAGTTCTTCCTTCCACCTGCTGTGTCCTCTATGCTGCCAAGAAAGAAGGAAGTCAGACAAGTACCCATGATGCCCTGTTCGATTTCAAGAGTTCTGCTATGTTATCTCTCAGAATTAAAACTCCACACACCCTGTGAGCCAGCAGCCCACGTCTGCACATCTTTGCCAGGGAAATGCTTGCAGAAACCACGTGTTTACTGCCGTGTTGTTCATTAAAGCAAAAGCTAGAAGCAACCTAAATGTCAGTCAGTGCAGGGTTGACTAAACAAAAGGAGGTGACATCATCTAAACTCGGAGCGCTCGTTATGTAATCATGAAAAGGAAAATTCGATCCGGGTGCATCCTTGTGTAGATCATAAGCACATGGCTGGATGAATAAAGCAAGTTGTTACACCACAGCTCATACAGTTTGATGCCATTTGTACATTTTTAAACCCCCCCCCACACACACACACAAAAATAAGCATATAAGTAAAACTTTTCCTAGAAAATGATACACATCTAGGTCAAAATGGTGGCAAGCCCTGAAGAAGATGAGAGACAGAGATGGGGGGATCAAAGACCAGCCTCCTCTGAGATGCTCGAATGTTATCAAAGGTGAATGGGCATGAATTCGGCAACTGATTTTTACAAACCAGTCCTACCAGTGGCTTTGAATGTGAAGGCGAGTAAGACAGGAACCCCTGCCTTCAGAGAACTCACAGACTGTGCAGGGGGTCAGGACAGAAGGAAAATGGGGAGAAAGAGACAAGAAAACCATGTGCTGAACCAGGGCAGAATTCAGGAAGAAGAGAGACAGGGCCCCAGAGGGAGCCAAGCCGAGTTTGTGCGTTTTGGTCGCCAGAGCTCACTGTCAGAGGGTTAGGATTCAGCTCGCTCTTGGGCTTGCATTCCTGTGGTCCTCTGTCCTGTGTGTATCTGAAGACTCACACTCTGGGGTCTCTCTTCTCTTGAAAAGCACAGCAAGCATTTGGGGCAAATTGCAGAGCCGATCCGCCCCGGTGTCACCCTGATGCGCCAGACCCTCTGCATGCCACCCGCCTCCTCCTGAAAACGTGACTAACAGTTCCGTGGGCAGGCTCTTTGAGTCACCCCTCAGGGAGTTCAGACACTGTGCAGGGCGCACACTTTCTTTCCCGGCCTTCGGGGGCTGAACAGAGGAGACCTCTAACGATTTCCTTTTAGGGAGAAATCCCCCAGGCCGGCAACATAGCAGTGTGCCTGCCCCTCAGCTGGTGTCATCCTACAAGAATCCGGGCCCTCGCACCGGGCTATGGCATGCGTTTCCACTCAGAGCGCTGGATTCCTGCCCTGCTCTGGCCAACACCATTTCCTGGGGACCGATATAAATCGCAATTTGTCAAACGCTGAGTATTGTATAAACAAAAGCCTAGACAGTCTGCAGGAGAGGAAATGCCAGTTTTACAAATCTGCCGGCCCTCAAGAAAGAGTCCAAAACTGTGCTCATCCTGTGGGCCCAAGAAGAGTTAACTAAATATTAACTTCTGAGCTGGCTGGGGTTTGGGGGGCTCATGTAATACAGGGTGAGGCAAAAGGAGGTTCATAGTTGTTCATATGGAAAATTATACAATAATGAATACGTAATAATACAAGAATAAACTCTGTGTTTCGCTTCCTCACAACTATACACCTCCTTTGCCCCACCCGTATCTAGGTTGGTGACGGCAGTTCTGCTACATATTCAAAGTCAGGAGGTTTTGACATGATTGCATCACTTGCATTGGTTTCTGGGACACATTGAGGTGACCTGACTTGTTGCCCAGTGCTGTCCTGGAAGGAACACTCTGGCAGAGGGTCAAAAGACAGGGGTCCTGGTCCCCGCTTCACCCCTGCATTGTCACATAACATAACGCTAGACATTTAATATCTCAGTCTTGGTTTTCCCATCTATTAAATGGGCTAGTAGCTGTTTTGTTTTGCCTTGCATGATCATTATGATGAACAAATAAGTAAAAGGCTTCTAAAAACACAAAGAATTATTTTTTTAAGAAGAAGAGCATCAGTCCTGCCAGCTTGACTCAGTGGTTGAGCATCAACCTATGAACCAGGAAGTGGCAGTTCGATTCCCGATCAGGGCATGTGCCTGGGTTGCAGCCTTGGTCCCCAGTGGGGGGCATGCAGTAGGCAGCTGATCAATGATTCTCATCATTGATGTTTCTATCTCTCTCTCCCTCTCCCTTCCTCTCTGAAATCAATAAGAAATATTTTTTTAAAAAAGGAGGATATCATTCTCCTTCAAAGGTCACTAGATGTAATCAGAGCGCTCCATGTGGAAATGTATTTCCATGTGGTTTCACAGGTGCTTCGTCTAGTCCAGGGGTGAGCAAACTTTTTGACTCGAGGGCCACAATGGGTTCTTAAACTGGACCGGAGGGCCGGAACAAAAGCATGGATGGAGTGTTTGTGTGAACTAATATAAATTCAAAGTAAACATCATTACATAAAAGGGTACGGTCTCTTTTTTTTTTTAGTTTTATTCATTTCAAACGGGCCGGATCCGGCCCGCGGGCTGTAGTTTGCCCACGGCTGGTACTCTAGTCCCTTGTTAACTCAGAAAAGAATGGCAGAAAATGAGAGAACCCCCTCCCTCGAGTGGAATAAAAATGGATAAAATTTATGTTAAACTATATATATATATATATATATATATACACTCATACATATATTTATGATCATATATTTATGATCATATATCACCAAGCACAAATTGGGGTATTTACAGCAAATAGTCTATAATATACTTTTTCAGAGAAAAAAAAAATGACAGCATACCAAACGAAGAAAGCACATGAAAGAAAACTGACAACATAAAAAATATATATGCCGACAAACATCTGAGAAAGTGTCCAGCCTTCCCAGTAGTCAGGGAAAAGTAATTGAAAATCACAGGGAACAACCTCTGTTCATCTCTCGGGCTGGTGGACGGCTTCTCTGAACAGCGGAGCACCAGGCAGGATCAGGAACAGGCTTCACACAGACAGGCACGCAGGGGCCCAGCTCTTCTTGAGACGGGCCTGTCACCGTGTGGCAACTGCCTTTAAACTATACAGTGTACTCTTTGATGGAGCAGTTCTCCTTCTAGGGTTTTATCCTAAGGCAATAACTAGAGGTAACCTCAGCAAGTGTTCTGTGTAAGGCTGGTTGTGTAGGGATTGTCTGTAATGGTGAAGATTTGTAAACAATTTAAAATAACCCACAAGAGGAGAGGACTAAATAAATGATAGTGTGTCAGTGGCCAGTTTGTGTAGCCATTAAAAATTCATGTGAAAATATGGAAGGAAATGGTTTTTTAGAGAAAAAAAAGCAATACAGATAAGATGACTCAAATTTTGTTAAAATATCGATGTCTATACACACATACATGAACACAAACAAATGATGCATCGGTATTTTAAGAAACCTCATCTCTGGGTAATGGGGTCTATGGGAAATTTTTATTTTCTTACGTTTTATTTTTTTTTTCTAGATTTTACCCAGTGACCATCCATGTATTTATAGTTCACAGGAAAACTGTAAGGCTAAACACTTTTTTAAGGAAAGGAATAAAGCCCCTAACCATTTCGGTCAAGGCCCCTATGGTTGACTGTAAGTAGGTGGGGGTGGGGTGGTCACCAGAATTCATAGTCTTTCTGCAGACTTATAAACCCCCTTGCTAATTTTTTAATCCCCCCACAATTGTCAAGCCTTGAGGATTGATTCAGACTAACTAAATGCACAAGAGATTAATTAGTCACTCAGAACTCTCTGTATGAACTTATGAAGGAGAATATTCCTGACTCAAGATCCTGTATTTATTTATGAACATCTTCACTGTCCTGGGCACTCCCTTTCTGAAGGGAAGAACCAAATGCCAGCCTGGCAGAGAGTTGCCTGTGAGAACGAATCAAGCCCCAGGCCCAGGATTCTGTAAGAGCGATTCCTAGTTCACCGTGGCAACTTGAGTGCTCCCTTCCCTGCTCAGGAGCTGCCTTCTCTGCCCACAGAATCAAGACGAGTCCCCTTGAATCAGGGTTCCCTCTCCTTCCTGTTTGAAACAAATGTTGTGAAACTCTTCTTCCCCAATTCACAGTTTATTTGGAGACTTCGTTCAGCATGTTGTTGTCATGACAACTGCACTCCTGGCCCACAATATCCTAACAGGCTCCCACAGTGGTGTTTCCTGATTTATTTCCCTCCACAGATTAATTGAGAGGTTGTCTTCTTCCTGGGGGCTCCAGGGTGAGAGCTTGCATCAAGAAATCAGGCAGGCCCCTCCCCACCAGGCTCCCTGTAAAATGAGCTCTCTGGGGAGACCACCTCCTGGGGAGCCCATCCCACAAGTACCCTGTGGATCTTTTGGTCTTAGAAGCCACCCTCTTTAGCTTTGTCCCTAGATTTGGAGACCATACTTTGACCTTAGATGTTAGCATCTCTCGTACTTTGCACATGGCTTTTGAGGCCTGTGCCGCTATTTTTACTCGGCACTCAGACAGTAATGCGTCTTGATGTGCTGGTCTAGCCACCCGATGGCCAGGGATTCAATAAGCAGACGCCAGGGGAGAGCCAGTTTACGTTATTAATAGAGATCATTTACAGTGGTCAGAGGACTTCTAGCTAGAGGAATTAATTCTGGGAATTCGGTGGCAAATTTTAAGAGTAACATACGCTATTGTAACACATTCAACTGTACAGAAGTATTTAAAGTAAAAAGGGAAACTCTCACCCACTTCGTCAAGCCCATCTGTTCTCACAACTGATGTTAATCCTTCTAACCTTCTAAAATGTTTTACACACACCCCACACAGAGTTGTGTGTGTGTCTGTGGGCTTGTGTGTTATTGATGTCTTTTAATAGGATTATAGTATATGTCCTTTCCTACAACCTGCTCTATTCACTTAACAATTTAACCCACGGACCTACCAGGATTCAGAGCCTCACTGTATCACTCACTGGCTGCCTCCCCGAACCTCAGTTTCTTCATCTGTAAAATGGAAATATAATGGCACATACTGCACAGGGTTGGCGTAAGGAATAAATGAAATCAATACTTATCAAGTGCTTAGAACAGGGCCTGCTATGTTACACACTCAGTGAGTATGAGCTAGAAGTCAATAGCACCATAGTAGCAATCATACCGTTAGTAGGATCGTCTCAGTCTTTTCAGTGTCTACCTAGCATTTCACTCATTACATGGGTGTATCAAAATTCTTTAAAACTGTTCCTCTATCCATGGCTCCTGGACTTTACTTACTACCAGACTTCCCTGCTGCTGCGCTCAGGTTTACAAAGTTAATGCTCTGCTATGGGTAAGACGTCAGTTCTGGTGAATGAATTCCAGGTATAACCAGCTCCAGCATTTGGGAATCTCTGAGATGTAGATAGAAGGTTTATATATACGCTTCTGTCCCCAGCAAATTGCCATCGCTCGGGAGGGTGACCTGCTGACCAAGGAGCGGCTGTGCTGCGGCCTGTCCATGTTCGAGGTCATCCTGACCCGCATTCGGAGCTACCTGCAGGACCCCATCTGGCGGGGCCCGCCACCCACCAACGGTGTCATGCACGTGGACGAGTGTGTGGAGTTCCACCGGCTATGGAGTGCCATGCAGTTCGTCTACTGCATCCCCGTGGGGACCAATGAGTTCACAGCCGAGTGAGTACCCCCTAGGGAAGGCGGGTCACCTCCAATTAGCTGGTCCCCCCAAGAGGCATCAGCTGCCAGAGCCCAGCCAGAAACGTGGTGGGCAGGGGCAGGGCTGTCCAATGACTATTTATTGAGCACATACTATGTGCCGGTCGCTGTGTGAGGTGCTGGACCTACACCAGTGCTGAGCAAAATTAGACAGTTCCCGGCCTTGTGGAGGTTAGGGGGTCTATGGAGAGACATAAGGCACATTGAATGAGACAGCAAGGGCAGGAAGGATGACAGATGGGGAGAAGTAGGTTATTAAAATTTAACTGATGGACTGGAACTGAGCCTTGGACATCACTGGGATTTATATCTTAGGGGGGAGAAGGGCACATTCCAGGAAAGACAACACGTGGCCGGAGGCAGAGATGAGCGTGTGCATGTGAGCGTGCACATTAGGGACTGTGGACCGCATATGAGGGCCCTTGTCTTTCTGAGACTGGAAGCTGGGCTGATTGAATGGGCAGGAGGGGGAAACCTGCCCAGGTTGGGTTGCGGCTGAGGACAAGAAAGAGCAGAGAGATGATCCCTCGGCCTCCCAGATTACCCAAATTGCTGTTGAGACTTGGAGCGTGCAGGCTGAGCTGTATCAGACTCAAGAGGACTTGCAGCCCCCACCCCACACACCGGCAGCATCTGCTCATGGGCCCCCGTGCCCCGTCCCTGCCCTCCTGTCCTCCTGTCCTGCACTGGCCAGTTAGTCTCCTGTCTGAAAGGGCTCTTCCCCTCACAGGTGCTCCCGGGCTCCTTTATGGGGCCCAAACAGATTCTTCTTTGACTTGTTGGAAATAGCAGCCATATAAATCTCATGGGCTGGTTGGTTTTTTCCTTGCAAATATTTCTTCTTCAAAGGCGATTTTTCTTATATTAGTGGGACAACAGACTGACACCTCTCTGTGGTTAGAAGAGCTTATAATATAACCACAGTCCCTGGAACAAGCGAATCTATAGCTTCTCTTGTACCCATTTCACAGATTAAGGTATTGTCCCAGAGACCAGCTACTCACTAGCAGTGCTCCTGGTCTAAGACGAGGCCCCTTCCCACCCCTCCCTGCCTCTCACTCCAGCTGCTTCCTCTCCTGCTTCCAGGCAATGTTTTGGTGATGGCTTGAACTGGGCCGGCTGCTCCATCATCGTCCTGCTGGGCCAGCAGCGTCGCTTCGACCTGTTTGACTTCTGCTACCACCTGCTGAAAGTGCAGAGGCAGGACGGGAAGGATGAAATCATTAAGAATGTGGTAAGCAGCTGGGGCCCGGGAGATGGGGCCAGGCCTGACAAGCAGGCTTTTCTCTGAAAAGGAGGGTGAGCTGATTATGGAGCCAACTCCCCGCACTGCAGGGAGGTACAGAGACACTCAGCGGAGGGGATCTTCTCATAGGAAGCCGTGAATCATTCGCTCATAACCCGCTGGGATGAATCAGGTCACCCTGCAGGGCAGGGCCGGGCCGGGCTCCAGACCTGAAATACACCTTCCCTGTGCCAGCCAGGCTCGGCCGATGCCAGTTCCTCGTCTGCACAAACTTTCACTGAACGTGGGAGTTGTGCAGGCGTGGGGTACGCAGTGCTGTTGGGGGAGCCTCCAGGAGGGCTGTCTAAACCAGGCTGAGGAGGGAGGGGGCAGGCAGAGGAGACTTGCCAGGGAGGTGATGCTCAGACCAAGTTCAGGATGATCAGCAACAAATAGCCAGGCAGAAAATGGGGTCCAGAATGTTCCAAACAGAGGGGCAGCTACAGCAAAGACACAGACATGAGGATGTGTGGCTGGAACCAAGGGTGGGTATTCAGGACCAGCTGAGGGGAGAGAGGCAGGGGCCACCTCAAAGGGTTGGTTTTTGTTTTGTTTTGTTTTTTCATTATGGGAGAATATATAGAACATAAAGTTTACCATTTTAACCATGTTAAGTGGAGAGTTTCACTATTCTCACATTTCAGTGTATTAAGTACACTCAGTACGCTCACATTGTTGTGCAGCCATCACCACTATCCCCAGAACTTATTCATCTCCCTGAAACTCTGCCCATGAAACACTAACTCTTCATCTCCTGCTGCCCCCACTCCTCCCCTCCCCACCCCCACCGCCCAGCCGCTGGCAACCACCCTTCCACTTTCTGCTTCTGTGAATGTAACTACTGTAGGGAATTCATATGGTGGGATCCTCATTTAGCATTCTGTATTTAAGGTTCAGCAGGTTGTAGCACATTTCAGAATTTCCTTCCTTTTTAAGGCTGAATACACCACATTTTGTTCATCTGTTGATAAACATTTGAATTGCTTCCACCTTTTGGCTGTTGTAGAAAATGCTATTGTGATCATGAGTGTACAAATAACTGTTCAGGTTCCTGCTCTCATTTATTTGGGGTATATACCAAAGGTGGAATTGCTGGGTCATATGGGACTTCTATTTTGAATTTTTGAAGAACCACCATGCTGTTCTCCATAGGTCTGCACCCTTTTACATCCCCAGTAAGGCACAAGGGTTCCAATTTCTTCGCATCCTCCCCAGCATTTGTTATTTTCTGGACTTTTTTGGTAATAGCCATCCTAATGAGTGTGAAGAGGCATCCCATTGTGATTTGATTCTCATTTTTTTCTTAATGATTAGTGATGTGAGCATATTTGTTTATCTTCTTCCGAGAGTCCATTCTAGTCTTTTGTTCACTTTTTACTTGTTTTGTTGTTGTTGTTATTGAATTGTAAGAGTTCTTTATATGTTCTGGATAGTAATCCTTTATCAGGTATGTGATTTACAAGTATTTTCTCCCATTCCATGGATTGCCCTCTCACACAGCTGGTAATGTCGTTTGATTCAGACAAGCTGTTTAATGTAGTCCAGTTTATTTTTTTCTTTTATTACCTGTGCTTTTGGTGTCACATCCAAGAAATCATTGCCAAATTCAATGTCACGAATTTTTTTCTCTACCTTATCTTCTAAGAGTTTTTAAGTTTTAGTTCTTACGTAGACCTTCGATCCATTTTGAGCTAATTATTTGTATATGGTATAAGGCAAGGATCCAATTTCATTCATTTGCATGTGGATGTCCAGTTTTCCCAGCACCATTTGTTGAAAAGACTACCCGTTCTCCATTGAATGATCTTGGCACCCTTGTCAGAAATCATTTGACCGTATATGGAAGAATTTATTTCTGGGCTATCCATTCCATTGATCTCTATGTCTGCCTTCATGCCAGTGCCACTCTGCTTTGTAGTAAGTTTTGAAACTCACAAGGTGTTTTATGGACAAGTTAACATTTGATTACCAAGCTCTGGGAACCCATAGAAACCTTTAAGCAAGAGAGTGATGGGATCATTGAGGCATCAGGACCCTAGACCCCAACCTCACTGAATTTTTCTCTTGCTCACCCTTTATTTCTCTATCTCCTCCTCCCACCCCTAACCTGAATGGCTGTGTCTTTTGCAGCCGCTGAAAAAAATGGCAGACAGGATCAGGAAGTACCAGATCTTGAACAATGAGGTTTTTGCCATCCTGAACAAGTACATGAAGTCCGTGGAGACAGACAGTTCCACCGTGGAGCACGTGCGCTGCTTCCAGCCACCCATCCACCAGTCCCTGGCCACCACCTGCTAGGCGGGAGGTCCTGCAAGCCCTCAACCTGGAGGAGACCACGCAGCAGGAGAGAGAAAGCCATGGCCAGCCCTGCAATGGGGTCCGACTGGACAGCGTGTGGGATGGACCTGGAAGCCAATAGGAACCTCCCCAAACACATCTACACTCCCAAGCTGGGCCTGTGCATGCTCTCCCCTGACATCTCCATGGTGGTTTTGCCCTAGCATAAATGAAAACAACACAAAACAAAAAACCAGGGCATATGTGCTTTTGTTTTCTCCTTTCTTTCCTCAGCTGTGTTAAGAGCCCTAGTTTCACCCTTTCTCCATCTCACAGCCCCACCCCACATCTGTGGTTGCTTCCCAACACTTCCTCCCAGATGGTGACCTCCTACCCGGTGCCCACGTGTGTGCTGTGTTAAGAGCCCTAGTTTCACCCTTTCTCCACCCCACATCTGTGGTTGCTTACCAACACTTACTCCCAGATGGTGACCTCCTACCCGGTGCCCACGTGTGGCCTCAAAGCTGAAGTCTCCGAAATGGAGAAAAGAGTGTGGCCATGGCCCTAGAAATCAGCCTAACCGGATAGTCATGCCTCCTCTACTGGCTTCTTCACCTCCTCTGGCTCCCCCTCCCCACTCCAGTTTTTCCAGGTGGCACCTCCTCCTGCTCTGGACACCAGGGATTCTACCACCAGAGTACTCTGGGCCAGGCGCTGAGAGCCCTGGCAAAAGAGGACAAGGTGTCAGCACCATGGTAGGTGGTGTTGGCTCTGACCTTCCGTGGACTCCAAGCCACATCCTCACTCTCCTCTCGGGGCTCTCCTAGAACCCAGACATGCGTTCTCAGCTGTATCCCACTGAGCGGAACTGGGTAGGAGGGTGGTCCGGCCCAATGTGTGGAAGAGGCATTTATGATTCCATAGCCCGAGACAGAAAGCCATTGGAACATTTCATCCGCTTGACGGCGAGATGGTTCCTTTCTTCATTAAGGAAATACTTAATGATCCCTAAGCCGCACAGGGCGATGGACACTGGGACTGCAGCATGGAACAAGTCAGCGAGCAAATTAGGGGCCACTTCTTTGCACAGATTGTCATCAAGAAAATATTAAGGGGTTATTTTAATAGGAGCCAGAAACATATTGGGGGTCAAGGAGGTGAAGAATTCAAATAAAATTTGTCAATGAGCTTTTACTACCAAGATACACCCACAAAAAGGAGTTGTTTTAGTGAATCAGGACTTCATTGTCCTAGAATTGGATTCTTGAGACATTTTATCTTTTGCTCTCACCTTCCTTAATGTTCCTTAACTTAGGTTTTGAGGGATGGGGCGTATCCCACAGGGGCATAACTACTTCAAATTTCCCAGACTGATCCAAAATCCCTAGCAGATCTCCCTCCAAGGCATGGGGGGAGTGGGAAGACGGAAGCCTTTGGAAGTGAATGTCTCATTACAGGGCGCACCATCTCCAAAGGGGGCCTGTGCTCCTGGGCTTGTAAGAAAATATAAAGTGAAGTATTTGATATCTCCCACCTCCACCCCCACCCAGGAGGAAAAGAAAAGAGAAAAAAATAGAATAATGATCCCCTCCCTCAGGGTGGATGGATGGAAATGGTTACCATTAATCAGGTGGCCCATTTTAACCCCATGGGAATGGGAAGAGCAAGCACGAGTCCAGAGCAAGAGGGTTGTCTGATACACCGATGCTCACCAGGGAGGAGGGAGCTGGGGCTCGCCAAGTGTGGTCCGAAGGCCTCCTACCACGGCCTCCTGAGATTACCACATTTAATGGCGATTCCTGGGCTCCGCCTCAAACCCACTAATTTTGCATCCCTGGGAGTAAGATGGAGAGATCTGAGTTCTGTTGCACATGGAAGTCCGAGGACCACTGCTGTAGAAGTGCTCTCCCCTGCTAGCCTTGGCCTTGGAGCTTCCTCTGAGCCACGAAAGTAAATATTTGTAGGGAAGGAGAGTGGTTCAAAGTGGAAGCTAGCAGATCTTGTCTGGAGGTGCCACTTCCTATTCCGATATTTCATTTTTTCCTCTTGATAACCATAGATGTGTCCCAAATGCAAGAGGGAAAGGTTATACCCCATAGTTGAACGACAGAGAACATGCCTTCAAAACCCGCATCAAATCTCTTAAGTTTCAGAGCCTTCTGAACCTTCAGTCCTGTCTGGGAACAGTCGCTGTTGCAGTCAGATGACCAGTTCGTAAGTCCTAAAGGTCTTTCCAGATCCTTGACTGTTGCTTTTGTGGAGATTTGGATCATCCATTTGATGAGATTGCAATTTCAACCACCCACCCTCCTGGCCCTGCATTCATAAATCTGAATTTGACCCTCTGGGTAGAATCCCATTATCCTCAGGAGATTCTATCCCAGTAAAATGAGGTCTTCATCTTCGGGAGAGACCTCTCATTTCCCCAGCTTGCCAGCAGCATTTATTTATGAGCATTGAAGAGGTTTAAAATTCTTTACGCCTTGATGTTATACCCACCCCCCTTCTGTGGTGTGTGTGTGTGTGTGTGTGTGTGTGTGTGTGTGTGTCTTAAGAATCAAGTAATAAAAAACAAAACATAGGTTTTAAAAAGTTAAAAACACACATCTGTTTCAGAAACTGTCAAATGTACCATATTTGTATTAAGAGATGTTGGGGATTTTTGTACAATGAATTTACATTTATTTATGGTGACTTCTATCTACCCTTGTGATCAAATAATAATGTTAAATTCTTAAATCATATTTGCTATGCAGCTGAAGATGATATTTTGCTTTGTATCTTGGAGTACCTGTGTTGAGTTGATAAACATTTCCATCTTCATTAAAATTGCTTCCAAACTGGTGAAACCAGCATCTTGGTCATGATTCCGGGTCATTTTCCAGTTCTCGTCGCCTTTGGAAGGCCACATTAAAACTGATGACTAAGAAAATAACCCAGCCCAGCCAGCGTGGCTCAGTGGTTGAGCATCGACCTATGAACCAGGAAGTCACGGTTCTATTCCCAGTCAGGGCACATGCCCGGGTTATAGCCTTGATCCCCAGTAGGGGGCATGCAGGAGGCATCCAACTGATGATTCTCTCGCCTCATTGATGTTTCTTATCTCTCTCTCCTCCCTTCCTCTCTGAAATAAATAAAAATATATTTTAAAAAAAAACAAAAACCTGAATGGAGTGGGAGAAGATAGAGCCAGCAGGTCAGCGTGCCCTAAACTAATGGCTTGCTTTGCTTTTTCACTGAGGAAATTACCTCTACAAGTTGACTTGTCCTGGGCAAGATATAGGAGATATTTTCTGCCCTTAAGGAACGCATAGTCTCACTGAGTGTAACTGGCACCCTAGACCCCTAGTTTTAAGAGGAAGAATGGGAATTAATATTAATGAGGCCTGATAAGTGTGGGCACTGTGCTAAGTCCCATTCATCATTCCTGTGACCCCAGCACAGTCACTTTCTGTGTCATAGCCCACTTTGACAGGCTGCACTGTGTTCATTTCCACACAGTTACTAGGTGAAGACAGAGGGAGAAGACGGACACCTGTAAGCCAAGGAGATTTTTAAAAAATTCTTTATTGTTGAAGTATTACATATGTCTCATTTTCCCCCCATTAACCTCTCCCCTGCTGCTCCCACCCCCAGCACCTGCCCTCACCCCCCCTACTGTGTCCATTGGTTATGCTTATATGCATGCATACAAGTCCTTTGGTTGCTCTCTAATAACCCCCCACCCCCCACCCCTCCACCAAGGAGATCTTAGGTGTTCTCCTACACCAAAAAAAGAAAAAAGGTAAATGTGGGGTGATGGATGAGTTAATTACCTTGGTTGTAGTGATCATTTCAAAATGTACTAGTATATCGAAACATTACATAGAACACCTTAAATACATACAATTTTTATTTTTCAATTATATCTCAATAAAACTGGGGTAAAGGGAATCTTGACTATAAGAACAGAATAATGTTGCTAAACCAAAAGCAAGAAAAATTAAATGTATAGAATAAATACATATTAATTTATGAATTACAGATGTCTTTATTTTATCCATTCAAACGTGGCTGGCTCAACAACAGAACACCCAGAAATATGCAGTGATAATTAAATGCAGTCATCTTTGGTATTTTGGCCAACTTGTAGTCATACAAAACCCTTGACATCACATAGACTTTATTTGGTGTTATAAATGTATATTTTGTCATCAAGAAGACAGAGCGTATTTTCTAACAGTGTAACAGCGTGATTTGGAACTTTTGATTATTTAGAGACATATGGTATGTGGTCCTTTTGCCCCAGACCCTGCAGACGGTGGGAGGGGGCTGGCTCTGATCCTGTGTCAGTTCCCCTAAAGAGGCTAAAGCCCGAGGTGGGAAAGAAAGAAACAAAGACGCATTTGGGTGAGGAGGAGATTAACCCGCCCCCAAAGCCAGTCCCCGCTTCCCCATCTGGTTTGATTTACTCTGATTTCCTCCGTCTGCGCCCCCTTCTCAGCCTGTTCCCAGCCACCCCCAGATGCTGCACCGTCTGGCTGGCCCAGAGCTTCCGGCAGAATGGGGAAGGCGCAGGGTTTCCCTGGGAAAATATGCCGTGAGATGCTATCGGAGCTAAAAATATGTGGCCCCTAAGCTCCACCCTCATTAGTCAGAATAAAACCCAGGGATTTCTGCCTTCTGGAGTTTCAGACCAACCGGAAAAGGGGAAATCAGCGAACCCCTGGTTGGGGCTTAAACTCTTTCTGGCAAGGAGCCCAGCCCTGAGCTGGAGAAAGCTCCCTGGACTCTGGTGGTTACAGTGGGCAAGGGGCTGACTCTTGCCGGACAGCCTGGGGGCAGTCTGGGGTCAGCCCATCCACGGCTACCACATATTCTCATCTAATCCACTTCTCCCATCATCAGTGTACCCATTTTACACTTGAGGACCCAAGCATACAGTGCAATATACAGATCTTGTATCATAGAAATCTATACCTGAAACCTATCTGATCCTATTAACCAATGCCACCACAATAAATTTAATTTAAAAGAAAAAGAAAACAATACAGATTGAACAACCACACCACTTGCCTTTTTCAGTTCATCCTGAGGTCCCAGGGTCCCCATTGCTCACACAGACACTCACCCCTACCCCTGCCTTCAGGGAATGCATCTCCTCCCCATCTTTACAGACTGAGCCTTCCATCGCCCTTCAGTATCACTAAAACACCCCTCCTCCTGAAGCCTAGGTCGAAGT